AGGTGTGGGACCATATAGCAGCTTAGTCTTCTAAGGAAGTTATAGTATAGTGATATACCTTTGTAGATGTATGCACCCTTCAAGTACATACCTGAACCTAGCACTCGACACCACATCAGCTCTTCATTTGAGTGCGGTCTGGGACTATCAAAGCCGCAAGCCCTCGCCCGTCGCCCCTCAACCCTTGACGTAAAGACATCGTTATCGCTAAAGGGTGTCAATTGAGGTGCATCGCCGGGCATCGGATACCCCGACTTGGCCACATCAAGGAGGACAGCAACCGAAAGCACTAGACAGTTTCCAAATCTTGCTTTTTGTGATTAGGCACTGTGAGTATAATATTGTTCATGATCAAACAGTCATGCCCTTCGTTTGTAGGATAGCCCCAAAGCCGAATCCCGGCGTGAAGCCCCAAGCCCCTGATTCCTAGACCCTGAACGGCTAAATCCCCAACCCGAGCCCTAACGCGAGACGGACGAAAATGCCGTCGTTTCTTTACTTGCAGCACAACATCCCAGATTCTGCGTTGGGATTTCCTGGGCATACGCGAACCCCGGTTTCCTACCACAGAAGGCTGAAGGATCCTGCTAGGGAGTTTAGGGGTTTAGGGTTTAGGGAGTCTAGGGAGATTGGGTATAGGGAGTTTAGGGTTTACGGTTTAGGGAGTTTAGGGAGTTTGGGTTTAGGGAGTTTAGGATTTAGGGGTTTAGGGTTTACGTTTTGCTTAGGGGGTTGAGGGTCTAGGGTTGTGCATGAGTGCATGAGCTCGGTTCTTTTGGTAACTCGCATTTCCACAGCCAGCCATTTCTAAAGCCAGCCATCCACATAAAGCATTGGATTGTCTTAATTATTAAAACCTCTATTATATAAGGGCTCCTTATTGCAATATTAGTATCATTCTAGTATAAGATACCCCAAAACCCTATTCTAATTATTGTGGCCCCTATAATTTAAATAATTGCCGGCCCTGACAGCAGATGCCCAGAGTTCTGGTCGCAGGTGTTTAGGGATTCACGAGGATGCCCAGTCGTACTCCTTATTCCCGCTTTGTCGTCCTAGGTTCCTTATAAAGTTACCCAATACCAAAGCCCTTTCTATTCCTAGGTTACTGGGCATCCTAGTTTATACTACCCTAAACCCTAAACCCTAAACCCTATTCAGGTCCAGCAGGGCGACCTTGACTGTTAAACTTGCCTGCACCCTAAACCCTAAACCTAAACCCTAAACCCTAAGCACCTTAGTAAAGAGCCATCTCCGCAGCTAAACTCCTACTTGGTAGCTTGCAATGTAGGGACCTTTTTTTACAGGGGCCTATTAGGATTACTATAAGAGGTATTATGGGGGTTTCGTATAGCGGCCTTAATACGTGATTATTAAAATAGGGTCTTCGGGGCCCATTTAACTATAACCTATTTCAAAGAGCCGCCAAACCAGTGTTGGTTATTCGTTAAGCCCCGATTGTAGGACCAGTCCTGGGCGACAGCTGCTGCGGAGCGGCTCGAAGAAGATTGCCGTGACGGGCACTGGATCAAGACAGGTGGGATCGCGGTTGGAGTCTAACAGTCTAGGGTTTTAGGTTTTGTGATGTGGGGTGTGGGTCTGTCAGGTTGATTGGTGAACGGTCCAAGCTAGGACTTGTGTTTTGTTAATTGCTGGAGGTTTAAGGGTTTTGGCTTATGGGGCTAGAGTTTTGGAGTTAGTTTGACATTTGAGAACCGCTGCAAAGCTAAACTGCAGCTAAACCTTCTAAAATCCTCAACACCCTCTATAACCTGTAGGATAGGCGCCGGAATAATTGGAGAACGGTTTCGGTGTACTATCCGTATATTTACATATAGGGACTGCAAGGACTACCGGTATCAGTATTCAGACCCCCATGGTACGTCGAACGACCCAGACGGAGGGCTGAGGATCCAGGGTTTGGGGTGGTGCTCTTACACGGTTTAGGGTTTAGGGTTCAGGGTTTAGGGTTTAGGGGTTTAGGGCTTAGGGTTTATATGGGCTCCTTTGTCACAGAATCCCAAAGCCACACGCGGAGCTCTTAACCTGACGTAAAGGGGATAGGAGTTTCTGTCCCTGCACCAAAAGCCCGCTCCAGGCAGCGCGCCAGGTGATCCAGGAGTCCGGCAGAAAAGCTTGGCTTTGATTGTGGGCCTTTTGAAAGCCTTCAGCCAGAAATAAAGCCTAAGCAAGCCCTTGACACCCGCAACAGGTCTCCGCAGGCCTCGGCAGGATTGTTGGGTTTCCGGTTTTGGAGTCAAGACGAGTTTTTAGCAAACCGGATGGGCCTCACGGTCTTCGACCCCCAGCCCCAATGTAGGAGCCTCAAAATCGAGTTCCGTTCACTGTTTCTCCCATTTTCCTAGCCACGCAAAGTTCTACAGTACAGTTATTCGGTCTCAAAGATACCCAAAACCATCGCCTGGGCCATAGTCTGCGGTTTCAGACCTCCACACTACCGGCACTTCTACTATAGAGAGCATAACTTTTGTACTCCTATACCCGTAGAGTCCCTAAGAAACCCTTGGAGTCCCTACTATACCCTTGGAGTCCCTGTTGTAGATACGGTATGTTAGTTATGGCCCCTTTCTGGGTTTGTCTAGTATAAATATGGCACCTCGTATTTAAGGTACCCCCCGAAAAAGGGACCCCAATTTTGGCAACCGCCCATAAGGTACGGTTGATGATATAAATCCTGCATGACCCATAATAAGGAGTATATCATAATTCCCATAGTTTAGGGTCCTTAAGGTAATGCAGGATTTATATCATCAACTGTAGGACCCCTTTAAAGGAACCCTCTTTAAAGGGCCCCTTAAAGGAACCCCTATAGATCCCTTTAAAGGAAATCTAGGATTTATATCATCAACAGTATGTTGTAGTCTTATGAGCCCCGGAGCCCCTTCATTGCTTCTTAAGAAAGCGAAGCGTCTCACACTTGCTGCGCGAAGACCGTGCGGCAGAGGCGGCAGAGGCGGATGATTTAAGACCAAAGAGAAACAAGCGAAGCACGCTACTGGCTGGGTTTGGCTTTTTTTGGGGGTTAAGGGGTGTGGAGTTTAGGGTTAAGGGTCTAAGGTCCAGGCTGTCTAGGGTTTGAGCGTCTATGGGTCTAGGGTTCAGGGTTGAGTTTGGGGTTAAGGGTCTATGGTCTAGGCGGGCTATGGTTTAAGGTTCTCGGGGTTCAGGGTAGGGTTGAGTTTGGGGTTTAGGCGGTTGCTGACGGTTCGGGGCTGAGGATTTAGGATATCGGCTTGGGCATGTATGAGAAACGACGAAAAGGTGATCGAACTGAGGCCCCGACGGAATAGTGTGCAACGCGATTGTCCGAACATCTGCATTCGTGCAACCAAGATAACCTGTAACTGCAACCCCGTCTAGCCAGGGATTGCCTGAAGTACGCCGCACATCTTAGACGATAGAATCCACGGGGGAAGGTTCCAGCAGCCTGGGTTTTGCTTCGGATCCCGGCCGGGGAGTCAGTCGGGTGTCCAAATTCAGCCGCGCCCATCGTGGCACTGAGCACTTAACCGACTTAACCAGTACTTGCTGAGAGCCTAAAACGTTGGCGCCTAGCATATGCGGTTTCAGCACGGCTTCAGGGTAGCGAGTACGGAGAGGAAAGCTCACATCTCAGAGCATCAGCCCATTTATCTAAGAAGCTTCTGTTGAATGTCACAACCTAAGCCCCGACACCCTTATGCATAGTCCCGGATACCGGCGGCAGACATCAGAAAAGTAAGACCAAAGGAGACTCAGCTACGGGCTTGACCCCTGGTTTCAATGCTCATCTCACCTCAGGCTTGAACCCAACTGCCCGAGACAGACCAGACCTGAAGCCTCAAAAATTTACTTCTGAATCCCAAAATGAAGACAGCAGAACCGAAACCGTATGCCCAAAGCATGCCCAAAGCCCTAAACCCAAAGCCTTAAACGCTAAACCCCAAGCCCTAGGCCCTGAATGGGAGAAGTGAAGAAAGCTCAGCCCAACTTCAAAGCCCCCAAAGCCCGAGATCCGACCTCTGACCTTCCCTCCGAGCGAGCTAAATAGGGAGTTTCCGAAAATAGGGGTACCTTATTTAGGGGTCCCTATAATAAGGATCCTACTATTTAGGGTACTAGATTAGGGTCCCTATTTTCGGAAACTCCCAAATAGGGGGTAGGGTTTTGGGGGTCGTTTAGGGTTTAAGGCTTAGGGCCTAAGGGGGGTGCGGGTTTGAGGAGTTCAGGGTTTAGGGCGTTTTGGGGCCTTCGGGTTGTTTAGGGTTTAGGGCTTAGAGGGGGGTTCGGGTTTAAGGAGTTTAAGGGTTTATTTCTTTTTCGGGCCTTAGGGTTGTTTAGGGTTTAGGGCTGAGAGGGTTTAGGGTTTAAGGAGTTTAGGGCTTAGGGCGTTTTGGGGCCTTCGGGTTGTTTAGGGTTTAGCACGTAGGGGTTTAGGCTTTAAGGAGTTTAGGGTTTAGGGCTTTTTAGGGCCTTAGGGTTGTTGAGGGTGTAGGGCTTAGAGGGTTTAGGAATTAAGGAGTTTAGGGTTTGAGGCTTTTTAGGGATTTAGGGTTGTTTAGGGTTTAGGGCTTCGAGGGTTTAGGATTTAGGGTTTGGGGTAGGGTTCCCTCAGAGCCCAACACCCTTTAATTGAGGAATATGCTTCAAATCATAATATTAAGTCCCCTATGATTTAAGGTATACTCCTTATTTACGGAGTATTGGGCTCTCTGGGTGTTCTAGGGTTGTTTAGGGTTTAGGGCTAGGGCTAACCACATTTGGGTTTAGCTTTCTGCGACGTGGGTTTAAGACACATGCGTAGCTCTCTAACTCAGGGCCCCTTACTAGGCCCAGTTTTCTTTACGCACCCTCAAAACAAAGAAATCTATAAGAAGGCACCCTAATTTAAAGAACTACCCTTATAGTACCCTTACCGAAACCCTGGAGAAACCCTCATAGATCCCTTTAGAAGGACCCTCCAAAAGGCACCCTAATTTAAAGAACTACCCCAGAATGAGGCCATCACGCCGCCCACAGCCGGGGCCTCGGTCCTTCATCAACTAATATAGGGGCCCTATATTACTCATTGGCTGTAAACTCAACTTTTCAACTTTTGGGGTTCTTACAAAGTAGTCGATTCTGAAAGTTTCAACTTTTATTCCCTTGGGTTTTGGGCCAGTGAGATTAACTACCTATGCCCATTAGAGATCTTATTATAAGGCATATTCCTCAATTGAGGGATATTGGAGTCGTTGGGTACTATTTCGGGAATTCCTTATCATAATTACGTATAGTATAATCAATTAAGGGGCTCCAAAACCCTATGCGAATGGTTAGGTAAGGCTCCTATATTATCGCTGCTTGGGCTTGGGTAGTTAGGGGCCAGGGTGTAGGGTTTCGGGGGCGGGGCAGTGTCCAGGGTTTGATAAGCTTCGGCGTTGGGGTTTAGGATTCAAGCGAGGAGTTGTGGGTTTCATGAAAAGTTAAAGGCACACGGGGTCATCAAGGGAGGCATCGTGCAGCTGGCTGCCTGAATCCCCTCCACTTTGGAACCTAGTTAGTTAACTCACTCCACGCTGCACCTTAGGCCTTAGGCCAAGCACCAAAACTCCAAAACGTGACTTGCCCCCCGTCTGTTCCTAACCATGAGATTCCTGGTCTGACTTCCTTCCCTAAACCCTTAAACCCTTAATTAAACCCTAAACCCCTAACAAACCCCTAAACCACGAATTCCCTAAACCCCTAAGGTTCCTTTGAGGGTTCCTGTACGGAGGCTATAATGAAAGCTTTAGGGTTTAGGGTATAAGGGTCATGTACCCAAATGCCGTATAGTTTGGGTCGCAAAGTAGCTGTATGGGCACTAGTTGAGGCCAAAGTATATACTATTTGCGTACATGAACCTTGAGGGATAGCTTAGAGGGGGCCCCCACCCTGTAATAGTGGTATAATAGGAACATAATAGGGCCCTAGTATAATCCTTGTAGTCACTATGACAGGGTGGGGGCAGCTTCTAAGGGTTATCCTAAATCCTGAACCCAGCATGACGTTTGCTAGTTGCGAGCTGGAGACCTGCGGAACCAGGCCGCCGGGGTTAAGGGGGTTTAGGGTTTAGGATTTTAGGGTTTTAGGGTTTAGGGTTTAGGGTTTTAGAGTTTAGGGTTTTAGGGTTTAGGGTTTAGGGTTTTTAGGGTTCCTCCGAATCCTGTAGCCCCGGACATCTGCACCCCAATCTCAGAAAGCCAACAAAAGAAATTTCCTGCGATAATCGGCTGAAAGCGTGCGCCATGTGCCAATAGAAATTGCATCAAAGCCAACAGCATGGCAGTGCCGAAGCCTCGCCGGATGAATGCTCACACGTGGAGACTGTGAGGATTCTTTTGTTTAAACCCTGGCAAAAGACGTATAGAATACTTGACGAGAATGCGAAGGATGCGAAGGATTTGGGCCTGATTGACCTTGCGCTTCAAGGGTTCACCAACAACATCTCGAACGACTTGATTGTCGTGAGGTGAAGACCAAAGATGGGCAGCGCAGGGAGACAACATCTGCAATGCAAAGTTGGGGCTGTAGCCATGCCAGCTGACGGAGTGGAAGGACGAAACCCCAAACTCTTACCCTTGCAGTCCTTACCCCAAAAACCTAGTCCGTGCCGTGCGACTTGCGCAACCCCGCGGAGCCTCCGAAACTCTAAGCCGAAATACAGTCTCCAAAGCCTTGATTCAATGCCCTCCATGAACCTTTACGACTCACCCTACACCAGTCGACACACGGACAAAATAGCTCTGCAGCTCCAGGACGCAGCAGTGCTCTCGTCGCTGCAGCAGCTTGTTGGGCGCCAAGAAGTTTGGGTTAAGGGTGTTAAAACTTGTAAGGCTTAGGTTTGGGGTTTCCGTTTGTTGGTGTCTAGGCTTTTGAGTTTTGGGGTCTAGGGCGATCAGGTTCTGGGCTTGTGGGGTTTCAAGGTTCGTGAGAGGTTTTGTCTTAGTATGGACTCAAGCATTCCCAATGATGCCAAAATTTCCATCATTCACGAATCTGTGCCCGAAGAGATACGCATGCTATACGATGTTCCTGTTGATAATGTACAGGTGTATACGACACATACAAAAGTATATATGCACGTGTGTGTGTGGGTGTGTGTCTGTGTGTGTGTGTGTGTGTGTGCGTGCGTGCGTGCGTGCGTGCGTGCGTGCGTGCGTGCGTGCGTGCGGGCGGGCGTGCGTGCGTGCGTGGGTGTGTGTGTGTGTGTGTGTGTGTGTGTGTGTGTGTGTGTGTGTGCGCGGGTGTGTGTGTGTGTGTGTGTGTGTGTGCGCGGGTGTGTGTGTGTGTGTGTGTGTGTGCGCGGGTGTGTGTGTGTGTGTGTGTGTGTGCGCGGGTGTGTGTGTGTGTGTGTGTTTTTGTGCGGGTGTGTGTGTGTGTGTGTGTTTGTGCGGGTGTGTGTGTGTGTGTGTGTGTGTGTGTGTGTGTGTGTGTGTGTGTCTGTGTGTGTGCGTGTGTGCGTGTGTGTGTGTGTCTCTGTGTGTGTGTGTGTGTTTGTGTGTTTGTGTGTGTGTGTGTGTCTGTGTGTGTGTTTGTGTGTGTGTGTGTGTATGTGTGTTCGTGTTTTTGTGTGTGTGGGGGGTGTTTGTGCTTTCTCTTTCATGCCTTGTTCAGCTAGTTGTCTGTACAGTATGTGTTGACGCGTACAAAGGTTCAGTTTTACATGACAGGGAGAACAGGAGGCAAGCACACACACGCACTCACAGAGAGAGAGAGAGAGAGAGAGAGAGCAAGGGAATATCAGAAATGAAGATAGATGGACATACAGGAACAGAGAAGAACAGAAATTCACACAGAAAGCCTCAAAGGAACAATTAACTCTGTACAGATAGATAGATAGATGATAGATAGAGATGAGCAGATAGGTAGATGGAGTGAACGAAACCAAATATCTAGAGAAGTACATGTCGAAAGAAAACGAACCAATGAAATAAACAGTTGACATCACAAAGGCACACATGTATATATATATATATATATATAGAGTCCGGGGGACTGTGGGCGTGCACCTTTTTGTCATTTTTGATGATGCATAAATGTGTCTGCGTGCTTTGCATGCTTGCGGTGAGGCGTAAATGCCAATTCAAGCAAGGACTCAACAGCTTTTGTGATCAAGTGACTGCCTTCCATAGACATTCTTGAGCTATGGTAGATTCATCTATACCTGGTTTGGTTCGCGAGCTGGGGGGTCAAGATGGTGCTCTTACGTTCGATGAAGCCGTTGGTCATGTGAACGGTCTAAAACTTCAGGGGCCAGAAACCCGGCCCGTGAAATCAAGATCGGCCAGCAGGAAAAATTACGGTTGGTGATCTCCCAGTTCGTTTCCTAGACTCGATTTCAGGGAAAGTGGAACAGTTTTGTGACGCCGTCCAACACGTGCGGTGGAATATGACACAGGATTGCTTCGACAACACCATCTACAAGGAGTGCATCACATCCAACTACAAAGGACTCCCCGAGCCTTTCCGACTAAAATATGAACCGAAGGTGCCGTACACCATGCAAATCGTGATCTTACCAGCCAGTCCACCAGAAGATGCAGCAGCAAACGACGATGGAACCTATATCCACGTCTTCAAACATGTGTACCTTCATAGAAACAAGATGACGGCACGGGAATGTATCGACATGTGTTATGGCATCGCTCTTCGTTTCGACTGGGGGACGCATACAAGGGCAGCACTCATGGCGCTCAATTACATGATCGATGGTATGGGTGGGAACCAAATCCGTTATTGGTTCGTGCAGCCTAAGTTTGAAAAGAAGGTGACCGTGGATCAATCCGCACGTGATGCCGGGTACAAGTTCATTCGCGACATGGGTCCGAGAGCCAACAACCTCAACCAGTTCATGGAATGGACCGATACACAGATACACACCGTCGGGAGCCCAATCGAAGGCACATTGTACGAATTGATTTTCTTTTCTTTGCAGTCGCAGCAACCCTCACGCCCAGTAAAGAAAAGCAAACAAGAACATCAGGGATACGAATAAGATGACAGGTTGGACAGAGGGAAAGTTGTGACTGCACTCCACAATTACATGAAAGGCCGACAAAATGCGAAAACATTAGAGTATTGGCCATTCACCTTGAGGAGCTTCACGGCATGGTTTTTCGACGACGTGTTGGTTCACATGTTGGGCTCACTCCGTCAACATGCCATTACATGGATTGGTAAAACTCGCGTGGGAAAGTCACTCGGATCCAAGACGGTGTCTTTCTGCCAATCGAAATATGAGATTGATGCAGCGGGGCGTGAAGATCTTGTACCATCGATTGTTACGGCCAAGCATTTGGACTTTTTTAAGTCCGAACCGCTCACCAAGTTCAAGCCGGGCATCTTTGATGACGGAATGCTGCAAAAGATGGATTCTTCCTTCTTGAAAGCTTTCCTCAATCCGTCCGTGTCTCAATACCCATAGAAATGTTTGTCGTGATGGTGATGCGCACCAGCTTTTGTAGTATTATTTCAATAGTTACATGCTTTGCTTATTGGGGGATGTTTGTATATAACACTAATCACGTGCAACCGCCGCGGACATGGCTTAAGTTTTGATCACATGGTATTTTACATGTAATATATTGTATGTATGATTAGAACCGCACATATAAGAAGCACATTGAAAACGCGTGCTAATGCTATGGAGTCTATGCCAAGGAAGAAGATGCCACAGTTTGGGCTAGATACTCATCCGCTTACTTCGAGCAGGGTGCCGGTCGACAGGCGTGCAACAATCCATATGATCAGAAGTTAGATGAGTCCATGTACCAGGAGATGCAAAGATCGAAAATTTTCGAGATCGCACACAACTCGTTCTTGGAGCTCATCCATCCATCCTTTGAGGGGGTTGACAACATGGAAGACATGGCCGCGATCATTGCGCGCACACACATCATTGTCATCACTGAGAATGGCGTGTATTGGCGTTTGGCAGGGGCGCAGAAATCGAATGTGAAGTTCGAGCCGTGGCCTCCCGGAGAACCCATTGATATCCTCGCCCCATCCCAGAAGCCAATTTTCTTGGCCTACAAAAAGAATCCCTCCAATCACACGCTTCCTCCCAACTTTCACGAAGACATGGTTTGGTCACAGGAAGTTCTGGGCAGGTTGTTTCGAGGAGAACATGTACCCCGTACCGTGACGGTGAGAGGGCGTAGTCTATTTGGAGGAGAACCCAACCTTCCCCGACAAATTCCACCCCGCCTGCTCGATGATGGCCAAGCCAAAGCCAAGATCAAAAAGGAACAGGTGTCCACAGTGTTTCGGAATCTGAAACGGTCAGGCCCAATCCAAATTGAGCTGGACTCCCCAAGTCCCCTAAGCAAGCAGCAGCGATATGTCGCTTCACGTGTGCCTTCGTCGATGCCGTCTTCTACTGCTAGGGCTTCTGCAGATGATTTCAGGAACATCCCCAATCCAGAGTTTGCACATTCTAATCTCGGAGATGCTTCAGCAGATGAAGACGTCATCCCAGCAGTAGGCGAAGGACCAGACGACGACGTGAATATCCCAAGTAGGCCGAAAGATGATTTGGAGAGGGATCTCGAAACCCTTGTGGAGGAGCAGATTGCCAAGGAGAATGCCGCATACAGTGATGTATCGGGGGGGACCGTGCAAAACGATGTCTTCAGGAATGTTTGTGGCATCAAAATTCTGCATTGGTTCGGGTTGCCTGTTTCAGTATCGGGTCATGGGCCACATCGTGTGTCTGAGCTGAACGACATGATCAAGAAGTTCCACGTCCAGTTTGTGCCAGTTGTCACAAAGCATGTGGGAGTTGATGGTATGTACCTTTGTCATCAGCATGGTCATTTCACAGGCATTTGGTGCCGAGAGGGCTTCATTCGATATTATGACCATGGCACTGAACATGTCATGAGCATGAGTGGCTTGAACGAGCTGGTGCAATCCCCTGACGTGTGCATCTTTCGTTTGGTGCAACAATCTCATGTCAAGCTCCACATGTTCTGTGATGCAGTCGGAGGTTCAGGAGGAGTCTTCAAACGCCCTGCTAGTCGTGATCCCATCCCAGTGTTGACTTGTCCTCTCGTTCGTTGCGTTGCACCGGGATGCAAGGGTTCCCTTATGCCCAAGCACAACATCGAAGCTGTCTGCTACGACATGACCGGTCCCCGAAACATCATGTACCAGTCCAAGGAATGCAGCTCTAGGAATTGTCGGACGAACTACTCGTACAACTTCCGTTGGAGTGAGGGCAAAAAGATCAATGTTCTTCGCTATGATGACATCGCTGACGGCGTGCTCTTCGTCAATGCCAAGAAATGTTTTTCCCTTTCGTTTCTGAAGTATCACGAGGAACTTCTGTTTCGAGGTCAGATATCGACACGAGCGATTGAACATGCCTACAAAACCCTCTACACCAATGAAGACACCGATGGGAAAATCATTGTTGACTTCCGAAAATGCTACCAAAGTGCTCTTTTCTACTTCATCGCGTTGAAGGAGTTTGAAAGTTTGGGTTTGCACATGTCCCTCGTGATCGACGATGAAATCAGCGACTCCAATTTGGAAGTTTACAATGCCTTTTGTCACTCCAGCATCTTTCCACCTTCCAAGCGTGCGAATGTGAAATGTTTAGTAGGGGACGGCCATCTCAGCCTGAAGCCTCGATGTGCTGATGGTCCCATCAAGCGAGCCGGACGTCCGCGCACAAAGTCGAAGGCCAGGAATATAAGGCTTCATTACACCAGTCAGTTACAAGTCAACGGGTTCAATTTAATGTATAATCGCTCATACAGGTGATATTTCAAGACATGTATGTTGCTCTGCTTATTGGGGGATCAACTATATCTACATGTACATACACTTCTACACACATGCAACTTCCATGTAATGTTTCAAGACGTGTATGTTGCTCTGCTTATTGGGGGATCAACTATATCTACATGTACATACACTTCTACACACATGCAAGAAGCATGCGAATCCTTCCTTGGAGCTGTTTCGCTTAGTGGTGCGTCGATAATCTCTTGATGGGTCTGGTTTATAAACCCATGCCTAGAGTATAATGTATATTGACCGAGACAGGCGGTTGCGAAGTGCAGCAATGGATGGTTCATGTGCTGTGAACCTCGTAGTGGTCGTATCTTGTCGCTCACAGTAATGCACGAACCGGAGTGCAACAATCATGTCATTGACGCTGTGGAAAGCATTATATGGTTGTACCCGAAGATGACGACTTTCGTCTATGACCGGGCTTGTGGACTCGTCAAAGCTGCTCGCAAGGTTAAGCCTCTGCAGCAGATCGACAACTACATCGTCGACATGTTCCACGCATACAGACATTCCAAGAAATGCTCGTGCAATCCCCGCAAATTGAATGGAATATTAGTACGAGTTTGCACCTGCTGCGATAAGGCTAGACCCTATAACCCCATCATACGTCCAAGTGTGCATGCACAAACGAATGCACCAGGAAGTCACAAGAAGTTGGCGAGCATCATCAAGGGCATCAACACAAGCATTTGTGAACAGATTTTCGCATGGTTTAGAAACTTTTCGGCAAACTTCAATGAGCTCAGGGGCAACCGCCACAAGTTCATCATTCTCTATATGGCCAAACGCCACAACGAGGCTGTGGACAAGAAGAACGCCGTGTATCTTCGTCCAATCTTCCGCTCCCGCAAAGCATCCAAGAGCTACAAGTGCAGTAAGCCGCAGAAGATGACATCCAAGTCCAAGCGAAAGTTCAGTGTCAAGAAAGCCATGAAGAAGTGAGCAGTCGCATCAAGCATGTTTGTAGAGAGCGCAGGTTTTGTATCACTCAGCGCTCAGACGCAGAAGCTAGCACGATGACAACGCGTGCCGTCCTGCTCGATCCACTCATTGCGGTTCAGACGGAGCCACAAGAACGTTTTTGTCGCTGCACTCAGCAGTTACGGAATAATTAGTTGGAAGATGTCACAATATCACAATATGAAATGACACCTGTACTCATACATATGTATACATATATATATGTGTGTGTTTACATGTTTACAAGAGCCCTTTCCGTGAGTTGTCCCTCCGCGTAGTGTTGCACCGACCCTGCGTGTGCGCGTTTTCGGCATTTCAAATGTTGCAGCCAACTCCGGATATGTACAAGAGAAGAATCAAAACAGAATGCACAAATACCAAAAAAAATATCAAAAAAAAACAAAAATACCAAAAACAACAAAAATACCAAAAAAAACAATTTTCAGGAAGTCCTCCAAAGTGGAAGTTCAGAATCCAAGAGTCCAAGAATTATGTTTTTTTTTTGTTTTTTTTGTTTTTTTTGGTATTTTTTGGTGTTTTTTGGTATTTTTGGCTTTGGTGGTATTTTTGTTTTTTTTGGTTATTGCGTGCATTTTGTTTTGATTCTTCCGCAATACGTATTCCGGAGTTGGTTGCAGGCCGTGAAATGACCGAAGACGCGCACGCCCAGGGTCCCCCGTTTTGTATATATATATATATATATATATATATATATATGCGTGTGTGTATTTACATACTTCTCGCTCTCTCTCTCTCTCTCTCTTTCTCTCTCTCTCTCTCTCTCTCTCTCTCTCTCTCTGCCAATGCATATATATATATATATATAGATAGATAGATAGATAGATAGATACATATGTATATATATATATACCTATATATGCATTAATGTATTCTGCCCTACAACCTTGTAACTTAGCTTGGCATGTTGGCGTGTTCCAGTGCAGGTCGAGCTCAGCGCCGTGGAACTGCGCGAGCTTTCCGGCCGCAGTGTAAGTCTTTAATATAGGGGCCTTAATAGTCACCTATACAATTATGGGGGGGCTCTTTCTTTATGACTATAGATCAATGGGCCCCCAAACCCTATTCTAACCAATTATATATTGCGCTCTCGGAGTGCGGGTTAAGGGCTCGGCTACTGGGGTTTTGAGGCTTAGAACAGGGCAAGCCCTTCGTGAGTTCTCGCTGTTTCGATTGGGACGCGGCTGGCTAATTATTCTGAGGGTAACGATGGCCGCGACAACGGCGGGCATGAAGATGACGGTGAGTGAATTTATAATGAGTAGTGAAAAAACGATATGGTCGTTAGAATACTGGTGCAGAGAATGGTGATAGCGATATAGAGGAGGAGTTGAGGCTCATGATGACATCGTGGGATGACCCTAAACCCTAAACCCTACAGGAAGCCTACAAACCCTGCAAACCCTAAACCCTATATAAAGCCTATAAACCCTAAAAACCCTAAACCCTACTCCCCAAATCATGGTCGTGCTCGGGTCTGTCGCCCAGGAAAGTGGCCGGCTCGGCACCCGAGGAGATCGGCAGCCGCGGCTGGGACAAGGACTAGCTGCCGGCTTTAATGTATTATAAGTAGGGTTTATGGGGTTCCTTTAAGGGATCTATAAGGGTTCTGTAAGGGCTCTATAAGGGGAGGTTCGCGGGTAGTTACGGGTGGGGTTATATGTAGGACAACTGTAGTTATAACCCATATTGGGGTACTTATCACCCTACTTGCATCTATAATTGCCCGTGAACCTCCAAAGAGTTGAGGGGTTAAATGTAAATGCCTTAGTTGGAATAGGTTTCCTTTGAAGAGTTCCTCAGAATGGGTTCTACAGGGGATCTACAACAAGGTTCTATAACATAGATGCCTTATACTGAAATAGTATAGGGCTTTTGGGTAGCTATCTTTTAGGGGGCTTGCTGCTGTTGGTCGCGGCTCGAGCTGGCATTCTCGAGTGTTAGCACATCATAAGACACGACTTAGGACACATATAGCAAACAAGGACTTTCACTCACACAGTGGTTTTTTAGAACGCGTTGCGTAGCTTGATCGGGATGGGGAGTGCTAGGTTTCAAGACAGCTGGGCTTGGTCTTTCTAGTGTTGCATTTTCCGTCACCTGCACTACAGGTTTGTAGAACTGTTTGCAGCGTTGAGTTCAAGGTCGTTCATCAAAGTTTGTTCAGTCATGTTGAGAGGAAAGGATGTAGAGATTAGGGACATGCGTGTTTAAGACAGTGGTTAAATACTGCACAGGGCACAAAACTACCCCAGCATTCGTCGATGAGTCTTTACGATGTGACTCGAATCTTTAAGGGGCTTTTGATGACAAAGAGTCCAGGGCTGCGCTGGTTCAACCCCGAACACCGACTTCAGTTTACAGTAAGCCCCATAAAGTTGGGAACCGGATCAAGGCCAAATAGTTCTGGGATTCCCTACATGTTACTCTTTAGGATGGAGGCAATTGGGTTTCCAACTTTTGGGCTTCTTCTGTAATCCCCAGTAGCTAGTATCAAATCGTCATGGGTGAATTCATCAGCAGCTCCTGGATGGTTTAGATACCCTCAGCCCTTCAAAACTTAAAGCCGGACCGCCAAAGTCGTGAACCCTTAACCCTAAGCGACGGCCCATGACCGCCCATGATGGAACCCTTATAGAAATCTTTACAGAGGCACCTAAAAGCCCTTCAGCCCTAAACGTCGGAGGACGATCAGCAGCGCCTTTTGAAAGCCAAGCTGCGATCTGGCTTTCGACTTCTGGGTCTTACCTATACTATTTTGGGGGTTCCTTATTATACTTGAGTATGATAAAGGGCCCCCAAACCCTATTCTAATTATTAAAGCCCCTATGTTTGGGATACAGGTTCTTGGGTTCAGGGTTTACAGGTTTGGGGGTTTATTTCAGGACTACCTGGGACTCCGTCGCTCCGCTGCCCTCGCATTACAAGGTGCCCAACATGAAAACCTCCAAACCATACGGACCTGAAGAAGGGGCTTTAGTACTTGGAGTAGAGTTTGGGGGGTCTACTATACTACTGAAATAATAAGGAACGCCCCCAAGCCTTTTTCTCATCATCATTGAGGCCCCTACGTTATTCTAAATCAGAGCGGGGATTATAAATCCTCAGCCCCGAGACCCTGAGCTCTTAGAGTCTTCAAAACCCACACCACACGAAACCCCTAAACACTTATATACTAAACCCTTAGAGCCCTGAACCCCCAAAAGACCCCAGGCGCCTGACTCCCTTGGGCAACCACCTCGCCCAGCTTCCTGTGGATGCGGGCTGCGCCAAGCTTCTTGCACGGGCCCCGGGTTTAGGATTTAGGGTTTAGGCTCCACAAGATCTAGGATTTCGGGATGTGAAGCTCTAGGCCAGACGGTTTACAGAAATTAGTGTTGGGCCCCTGGTCAAATTGCTGAAGGGCGTATATAGTGTTTCCTGCAGCCCATTGGCTTTAGAGAGCTTTGGGATTTGCGAGCCGGGCTTCAGGGTGTTTAAGGTTGACAGCTTACACGGCAAGCCCTAAACCCTAAACCCTAAACCCTAAACCCTAAGGGCCCTAGATTTCTGTTGGGTGCAGATGCTGAAGCCTTTGGGGTTTCAGATGTTTTCGGGATTTTCCGTTTCCGCTTCAAGGCTCAGAAGGCAGGCTGCAGAGCTTCATAAGCCCTAAGAAGCCAAAGTAGCTGTATCTCGTTACAGCCCCTGTCTGTTGCAGCGCTGATAGGTAGATAGGTTGATGGATAGACAGACCGGCAGGCAGACAGGTAGACCCAGCCCTTAAACCCTGCAAGCCCGCATCATCGGACCCTTAAACTGCCCTGAAACGAACCCTTGAAGGAGCCCTGAAAGATACCTCACACAAAAAACCCTTCAAAGAAACCCGTGCGGAAAGAATCTCTTACACTCTAAATCCTCAAGCTTCAACCCAGCCCTAAACCCCTTCTGGATCACCTTATAAACCCTATTAGGAGCCCTTGTAGAAACCGTTATCAGCCCCATTAAGCCTTGTAGAAACCCTTGTAAACCCTATGAGGAGCCCTTCGAGAACCCCTTATATACCCTTTTTGAACACTTATATAGCCTTTTATTCAACAAGTATTAGAGCCCCTTTCGAAACCCCTTATTTGGATCTACAGCCCGTACAAAGCCTTTATGAAGCCCTCACAAGAGGCTATTATGAAGCCATTTTTGTAACCCTTTTTCAAACCTACAAACCCTAACCCTAAACCCTAAACCCCTAAACCCTAAACCCCTAAACCCCTAAACCCTAAACCCTAAACCTTCAACCTCTTATACAGCCCCTTATTTTGATCGGAGGTCCTGGGGTGTATCTTCGGCGTCCCGGGAGATGTCTGCACACTGGCGGCCGCGCTTTCTGTGAAGTCGCCCTTTGCGGCCTCTCTTCTGGATAGGGTTTTGGGTTTAAAGTTTACGGTTTGGGGTTATGGGGTTTAGGGGTTTAGGGTCTGGTGTTTAGGGGTTGAGGGTTTGGTGTTTAGGGTTTAGGGTTTGGGGTTTAGGTTTAGGGATGTGCTACAAGGTTTACCAGTACCGGGATTTCACATGAACTCGGAATGGGCCTTTATGGGAGTTTAATAACATGTTTTATATGGGAAGGGTTTAGGGGTTTAGGGTTTAGGGGAGTGATAGGGTTTACACTTGGGTTCTGTACAGGCTGCAAGGGTTTGACGAACGGTGGAACCGGAGCTAGGGCTCGGGGTGTCGGCATTGTAGTTCCTTTTTGGGGTTACCTTATAGGATCCTAATTATATATTTGGTTAAACCAAAAAAAGGAACTACAATGGAGACTATAGGTAGGGCTCGGGGTGTCGGCATTGAGGGTTGAGGGCTTTTGAGCAGAAGCCTCTGTCAGCCCCTAAACCTCGCATAAAGTTGCTTTCCCAAAGGGTCCTATGTACTGTTATGGGGAATACTTCCCCAAATCATAATAGTAATTCCTAATATAGAAACCCTACATTCTACTATATCGGTACTTTGGACCCTTTGGGTTGTAGATGAGGGATGAGGAGTTGCGGCCTTGGGCCCCGCTTCGAAATGTACAATGTAGCGTACTGGGTCTTGTGGTGTCCTCTTCATGTATTTGCTCGTGAGGTCTATAGGGAACTTAGGGGTATTTAGAAATATGTGTTAATTTTTTGTCATTATAATCCCTAATTAAGAAACAGCAAAGAGTTAATTTTGCTAGGGTTCTAAGTTCAGTATAGGGAAGTCCCTGACACCTAAACCCTCCAGCTTCCGGCGAAGCCGTTGACTGCTAGCTGGCTTAGTTGAAGCAAGTTCTCACAGCAGAAACAGAGGCCGACGAGCCTCCTGCAGCTACTGCCCAGAGTGGGCCAGTTGCAACAAGTTCTCAGAGGAGTGGCACGATGCAGAAGAGTCCGTGGAGGAGATCTTCGATCGTGGGCCCTTTGCCAGGACCAGTGGGCAGAAGATGCTATGACATCTTGATCTGGGAGTCTCCGAAAAGGGGGGACCCTAATATAGTACCCTAAGTATATAGTAGGATCCTTAATAATATAAGGACCCCCAAATAAGGTACCCCTAACGTTCGGAAACTCCCATATTACTCACTGGTCGGCTCCCGGCTCGCATACCGGATCATTGACGAAACCGAGGCCCGGAACGGCGTTGCGGTGGCTGCGAAAGCGTCGGAGAGTCCGGCAAAGGGCTGAAGGTGGAGTTTGAGTCCATTTAGACATTAGATTCCGAAGATAGGAGTTTAGGGTTTAGGGTTTATAGAAATTGTTAAGGGTTAGGGTTTAGGGTTTAGGGAGGAGAGCTGAAAGTTCTGACATCCATCCACCCAGAGAGCCCGATAATTAATCACTCCTGAACGATGCGCTATAAGTTCCAACAAAGAGTTAAGCCACCTTTTAATTCATATCATTGAGAGTATGGTCAGTATTGTCCGTATGTTCGGGAAATGGGGCTCCCTGACTCCTACGCCTAAGCCATAAATCTTAATTCCTAGACTCACCCGTCAAGCCCTCAACCCTAATCTCTAAACTCCCCAACTACCCCTAATATACCCGAAATACCCGCTATGAACTACTATAAGAATTGCACTTGGGGTGTCCTGCTCCTTAACCCTAAACCCGAAAACTTAAATACTCCTAAACCCCTGAACCCCATAAACCCTTAAGCTCCTAAACCCCTAAACTCCCAAATCCCTGAACTCCGAAACTCACTGCTTCTCGGAAGGTCACCGCTGCAGGCAAAGGCAGCTCAAAAGGCGCCCAGGAGCAGCGCAAGGCTCCACGGTTTAGGGTTTAGGGTTTAGGGTGGCTATCAAATTTATGGGTTTAGGGTTTGGGGTTTAGGGTTTTTGGGGGTTTAGGGCTTGCGGTTACAGAGCTTAGGATTTGGGGTTTAAAGTTTATGGTCGGTTGTCAAAATTATGGTCCCTTTTTGGGTCCCGATTATAATACGGCACCTAATATTTAGGGTACCCAAAAAGGGACCCTAATTCTGACAACTACCCACATGCTGTTGACTGCGGCTCCGACTTAGGGTTTAGGGTTTAGGGCTCTTTGAAGGGTTCTGCAACTGCAAACAGTGGGGTTGTACGGTTTAGGTTTTTTGGAGCTGGGCTTTTGAGGCTTTGAAGGGCTTTAGCTTTCTAGGGTTTTGGCATGTAGGGTTCAGGGGGTGTTCGAGCTTTGGCTGTCGAGGATTTTGCAGCGTAGGGTTGGGGCTTAGGGTTTTTTGGGGTTTTGGGCCCTTTTTGAGCTGTGTCGAACTGGAAACCCCAAAGCCTTCAACCAAGGAAGAAGCCAAAACCGTACACCCCAAACCCGAATCCTGGACCCTAAACCCTCAAACCCCTCACTCATGCACCCGCAGCAGCTCCGGGTCGTGCTTTGGTGTGTGGGGTTTTGGGGTTTAGGGCAGTAGGGTTTAGGGGTTTGGGGCTTAGGGTTTTAGAGTGTCGGGTTTAGGTTTAGGATTTAGGGCTGGTTTGGGGGTGTTCCTTCGGCAAGATGGAGCTCGCCGGCGATCTGGAGAGTGACCAACTTGTTCTAGTGCCTCCTGGCTTCTGAAGGTTTCTTTAGCCTTTAGCAGTCGGGGGGTTTAGGGTTCGAGGGAATTCGGGCTTAGGGATTGAAGAGTTAGTGTTCGTTTTCGGAACGAGCTCCGGTAGAACACGTCTTAGAAAGCTTGCCGAGACCTTATGGAGTTTACTTGATGGTCACTGCTACATGGATAACTGTGGTAATTCTAGAGCCCTAAACCCTAAACCCTAAACCCTAAACCCTAAGCCCAACTTCGCAGAAGGGTTGTATTCATTTTCCGGACAACCCTTATATACCCCGAGAGCCGACATACCAATAACCCCAAACCCACGGCCCCTCAACTCAAGTCATATATGGCTGGTTGTCAAAAAAAGGATCCCTTTTTGGGTCCTTGAAAGAACAGGGCACCTAATATTTAGGGTACCCAAACAGGGACCTTCATTGTGACAACCATCCATATAGGTTCCGAGTACCCTGAAACCCTAAGCCCTGAACGACCGGTGACTCCAACTCATCGCCCGTAAGCCCTCAACCCTAAGGGCAGGGTTTAGGGTTTAGGGTTTAGGGTTAACCTCTTCTCCAGAAGCCTTACAGCCGCCAAAGCCCTAAATCCTGCATCCCCGGAAAGGATTTTTCGCCCAACCCGAAGGGTTAAACTCTAATCCCGAAACCTTATCCGAGATCCTGAATTTCAGAAGAGGACTTTTCAATTTTTCGGAACCCTCAAAACCCAGAGGGTCCATGTACACTACCATTATGGAATTTGGTCCCGAAAACCCTGATACTGTTGATGATATAAATCCTGCATGACCTTAAGGCCCCTAAACTATGGGAATTATTGCATATTCCTTATTGTGGGTCATGCAGGATTTATATCATCAACCGTAGGGATGGTCTTTCGGTATCTAATTGCATACCAGAAGTGTATATGGACCGTCTGGGTTAGAAGCACCTATATAGTACAATGTAGGGTTTCTGTAATGGTATAATTACTATTATGATTTGGGAAATATCCCGCATAATAGTACCTAGGACTCGGAACCCTTAAAAAAGGGGCTCAAACTCTCAAAAAAGCAAATCTGAGGAAGCTCTTTGAGCACTGGGAGCGCCTGGGGAAACGAACGCAAGCGGCGAGGGTCTGGTGCCGTGAGAATGGCGCCTCGGTGCAGGATAGGGTACGTTAGGGTTCCTTTAAAGGGTTACTATACGGGTGCTACAAGGGTTCCTTTGAAGGTATGTATCCTACTGTTTCCGGTACTATATTAAATAACAAGAACCAGTTCAACACACCAGTAACAAGCACTAACATCAAAAGCTTCAAGACAATCAACAGTCGTCGTCGCTCTCGACACCATAAAGATATTAACCACAACAACAAGTACAGAATATGATGTTCGGCCTAGGAGGAGACAGATCAAAGTCTGCACGAGCTTGCAGCCAGGCCCCGTCCCCAAAGCACTGAACTGGCACAGCGCTGGAAGCCAAAGTCCCTATGTACGCAAACTCCAAGACTATGAACCCCACCCCCGTCAAGCTTCAACCCCTGACTTCTGAAGCTCTCATTCCCCCAAGCCGTGATGTGATGTCAGGATTGGACTTGCAGGCATTCGAATCTGCAACCTGGCGTCGGCAAGAGTAGCATGCACCTCCAAAACACCACCGAAGCACAACACAAAGGTGTACGCAGAGCTAACCTAGACATCCGGCCGAGCCGGAAACAAAGCAACTAACTTTTGTAGCTTAAGTACAAGCTCAAGCATTCAAATTTTGCCTCGGGTTGGGATTATGTTCAATTAAAAGTTATGTTTTCGATTGCACGGCTATTGTACCAAAGAGCATAGGGATACAGGTGTCGTATTGTCGTGTGAAGAAGACTCTTCGCTAGTGCAGAGCAACAGGCCGTGCACGAAGCTTGAATAAAGTCTCCAATAGGATCTGTATGCCCGGTGTGTTTGGGGATCTCCTCATAATGGCTCAATAGGGACAAAGTTGAGGAAACGGTATTCTGGGGTTTTAACCGATTACTGAGAGCCCCGAAATGGCATCACACCAATAGATGCTAACATTTTCATGTCTGTGGGAGCTTGTAGACGTGAGGCACGTTGTCTCAGAACACTCGCCAATTAGAGCCATACTTCCTTCGAAACTAGATTCTATAGGGTTTCGACCGCAGGCTCTAGACGTATGAGCCTTAGCAACCTGGCGTTTCGGGGTGTCTACCGCTGAGTGCCATTCTGGGCAGCCTTGCTTACATGTCTGTATGGTGTTGGAGGCCTGGCAACCCTGCGTTGTAGCAGCCGTAGCCACAGTTGCAACGCTGGCAGTCGTAGCCGAAACGCCAGACCCTGCAACAGCCGTAAACTTTGCCCTCTAAGCCCAAAGCCGAAACCCTTCAGACCCAAACAAAAGCAGGTCATCATGTTTCCCACATGGCAAACAACTCCAGGTTTCCGACATGCGGCGGCACCTTATGGGTATTCTGGTTGAGCAAGGCCTTCACAGCGATGCATAGCCTGAGTTGAAGGCGGCTACCATAAGTTTATCTTGTCCCAGGCTGTTCAGTGGTACACTTTTTTGCTTTCAGGTTTCTGGGTTCCTATTGTGAAACAAAAACCGGAAAAAGTACATACTTTCTCCCAGTGGGTTACTGAACAGCCTAGTTTCTTAACGATCCTAACGACAAGTACTGTGCAAAGCCTTCAACACAAAAGTGAAAAGGCGTTGCTTCGGCTAAAGACACATCCCACGTGAGCGAATGCTTGTAATTCTCACCCCCGTATATGCTTTTCGATGTTGAGGGTACAGTCTTGGAGGTCCCTGAGTCACCCTAAACCCTAAACCCTAAACCCTAAACAGGGACATCGGGCCTGCCCCTGGAACCGGGAGCCTTTCACATCCAGCCCTGGAACCAACCAAGCGGTTGCGGTTTAGGTCCTAGGGTTTAGGGTTTAGGGTTTAGGGTTTAGGGTTTTAGGGTTTTAGGGTTTAGGGTTGTCAGTGTTGGAATTTAGTAGAAGCACACGGTATGAGCCACTTTACGGTAACTCATGCACAAGGGCTTCTTAATGTTTTGAACGAGCAAGCCCAATTTCAATCATAGCGCCCAGGCCCTTCATCGGAAACATATTTTGACCCAGTGGAGGTTTCAGCAGCCCCGAGACGTCTGACGACGGATCGAAGAGGCCTGAATTCAGGGCTTAGGGTTTCTGTGTAGGTTTCGGGGGCTTAGGGTTTTTGGGGGTTAAAACCCTAAACCCTAAAAGTTCAAAGTTTGAAGCTACGCTTCGCCAAGCACCTAGCAAGGCCCTTGGTTCTGGACCCTGTAGTCTTGCAAGGCTAGGATGCCCAGTAGTACCCTTATTCCCTTTTTGTAGTCCTGGGTTCCTTATAAAGTTACTCAATACCAAAAAGAGAGGCCTTTTTCTTCTTAGGTTACTGGGTATCCTAGAAGGACTGCAAGAGCGAAAGCCCCTGAGCTTTGAAGGCCGCAGCAAATACTGAGTAGGTCTTACTAACTGGGCTTTGGAGAACCATACTTTAATACTTTTTTGGGACCTGGTACTTAGAGGGAACCAATGACGAAAAAAAGTCTATACTTTTTTCTGCCTGGTCACTTTCAAAGGCCAGAGTTCAGCTTCAGGCGGATGCCTGCCTGCCTTTCCAGCATTCTGGCAGCCAAAGAGGACATGCCTTGCGTGAACGGTTTGGTGTTGCGACCTGGGCCGGTTGGGGGTTCTCCTCGGGAGCTTGATTTGAGGCATCGGCTGATGGCAGTCCTGTAAGACCTTCATGAGATTGCAAGAGCATGCACCTTCGCTCGGAGCCAGAAGCTAAATCCATAGTCATCATGGGTCTATGGGCAAGCGTGGGACTCAAGCGCCACACTTGAGTAGGTGAACATCCCTGTGCAAATCGTGCACAGCTCACTGTTGAGCTTAGGATAGCAGCTCCTCGATCGTGCACGTTATTGGAATGGAATCTAAACCCTAAGCCTTAAACCCTGAACAGGAGTTCAATCGCCGCCGATTCCAGCTTCTTCGTTCGCTGCTTTGCGCCGCGTTGTGGCCAAATGCGCTTCTTGCGCGGCTTGAACCAACCAAAGCAGAGGGTACGAAGCGTTTCAATCTGAAACTCCTAACCCCCTGAATTCCTGAGAGTGAGAGCAAGAGCTCCGAATTGCTTTTGCGCAGCGTATGAGGGTATTAGGGCTCGGGTCTGGCGCCATTCGCCGGGCTTTGGAGTACCATACCATATTTTTTAATACTTCTTTGGGACCTGGTACTTAAAGGGAACCAATTATGAAAAACAAGTCTATACTTTTTTCTCCCTGGTTACTTCAAAGCCCAGTTCATGGGTAGAATCTAGTAGCTATAGTCAGTCATCGTATTTCCAGCAGCTCTAGGAGGAGGCATGGTAGTATCTATGTATGTAGTAGTGGGAGGAAGTGTATCTTCGGCATGCTGTATAATCCTGTTCAACGGATCTTCGGCATGCTAGCACATACACTTGGCAGCAATAGTGGTTGTTGTTGTGTTTGCTCGAAAAAATAATGTGTAACGAAGTTTGGGTTGCTGAACAAGTCGTATGTTTGCATGATCAACAGGTTCAACCCTAGACCCTAAACCGGTTCCAGCATGGGCATGCGCATTGCGTCGAGGCTAGCGCTTCGCCGGGGTGGTTTTTTTCAGGTTTAAAAGAACTGGGCTTAAGGCACTACAGCTCATGCTGAGGAAAGACAACGGCACGCTGTTCGTCGCTGGCTTGCATGGGAGCAGATCTTGAGACTAATGTGTACAGGCATCCAAGAGAGAATGCGCCGATCTATGTATGGTATAACATAGTCATCCTAGGTTCCAGAGAGGGAGACATAAAACGAGTAAGTACATGTAGATGTCCCTCTTCGCACTCGTGCCTGTATATGCACATGCAGGTTTCTGAGAAGTATGTGCGACTTTGCGTTTATTTGTCTGCATACATACCCATGTGCTCGGGTCTGTGTGTATTCAGATATAGTGAGGTAAAAAAGAAATCTGTGTGTACAGATAAGATATATATGTATATATATACACATGCATATCCTCTGTATTTTTTATGTGTTTGTGTATATACATAGGCATATCATATATGTGTGTATATATATATATATATATGCACCACATCACATATATGTGCGATTATGTGCGTATATATATATATATATATAGATCATTAGGTACACACACACCTACGAAGTAGGGGAAGCAAACTCCAGATTCTGGAGGTTCTGATTGCCATGACGGTTTCGGTGTGGATCGGTCTTGGGCGTACATGTCTCAAATCCCTAAGCCCCCAAAAACCCTGTGAAACCCTGTAAAGCTTACAGCTTTTTGAACACTTCAAAACCCAGCAAAGGGCCCCCCCCCTAGCCTTGCAGTAAGCCCCGAGCCCTAAACCTGAGGCACGCAATGCCACATCACTTGGCTTCCACAGTTCCAGCGTCCTTGCTCTGCAAGCAGACCAGGCTGCGCAGGCGGGTTTGGATCTTAGGGTTTTGGGTTTTTGGGGTTTTGGGGTTCATCAGGGGTTGTTAGGGGCTTAACGGATTTATGAGAGTGTAGCAAGGGTCATGGAAGGGTGTGATATGTTTTTTTTAAGGGTTGCAATCGGGTTTTTAGGACTTTGACGTTGTGGGCATTTTTGGAACCCCCAAACTGCAAACCTACCCGGCGCTTCTACACTTGGTCTGAAGACAAGGAACATTCTCACCTGAATATTTGAGGGATATGTGCTGGGGAACCGGATTAGGGGTGCAGGGCTTGAGGTGCTGGGTTGAAGGTTTTGCACTAGGGTTCCTTTAAAGGGTTCCTTTAAGGGTTCCTTTAAAGGGATCTGTAGTAGGGTTCTATCGTATAGGGGCCTTAAGAATTAGAATACAGGTTCCGGAGGAGTGACGGTCGAAAACCGATGGAATAGTGACCCGTTTTATGGCAGAAGAGAGGACTTGCATTCATGTGTAATTGCTTCTGCGGGCTGTGTCGAGGTATCATGAATTCCATCATGTCTTGCAGACCACGACCCTCGCATGGAATCGCTTCGGTCATGGTAGATCCATAGATTCCACTGTCCCTTAAGCGATCGATGTTCAGGAACATGCTTGTCCCCGACCCTAAACCCTAAAACCCTATACGGGAAACCCCAAAACCCTAAAATCCTAACCCCGAATGGGCCGTTGGAGTTTGGAGCTCCGTTTGGCACTTTGACATGTAGTTTCAAAGCTCTACACCCCCGACGAACCAGTAATCTATGACTATGTGAGTCTAACGTGAACATTCCAGCCATCTCCAAGGGTCCAAGTACCTAATAATCATATACTCTCCAAACTGCTAACCTACATAACTACTATCCTAAAACCGAGTACCTAACTTTTGGGTCCTTTGGACCCTTGGAGTACCAGAGTAGTCTGTCATAAGAAGGTCAATATGGGAGTTTCCGAAAGTGGGGGACCCTAGTATAGTACACTAAATAGTAGGATCCCTATTTTAAGGACCCCAAACTAAGGACCTAACTATTCTGGGCTTTGGAGTACCATATTTTAATACTTTTCTGGGACCTGGTACTTAAAGGGAATTATGAAAAAAAGCACGTCTATACTTTTCTCTCCCTGGTTACTTCAAAGCCAAGTATTGGGTCCTTTGGACCTCCCAGCCAGGGCTATTGCAGTACAAGGCCAAGGTGGCCCAGGGTATTAGAAACAGCTCCACAACCAAAGCCGTGAAGCTTCATACCCCAAACCCGATACCCTAAACCCTAAACCCTAAACCCTAGAACTCTAAACCCTAAACCCTGAACCCTAGAACTCTATACCCTAAACCCTCGAGCCTAGACCCTAGCTAGCAGGAAGCCTCTGGTGACACTTGGCCACGGATACCTCTCGAACAGCAGGGTGGGGGCCAGTAAGAGCACGGCCCAGGCGACTTCTTTCTGTTAGTTAGGGACCCAAAAAGCACATAAGCATAAGTATGTGGTTGGGATATCCCTACCTTTTTGAGCTTCTTTTTAGGGGGCTTTATATGGGATATCCCTATCCTAAGTGTTGCTTATGTGCTTTTTTGGGGCCCTAGTCAGGGTTTATGTTTGGCTTATCAGTTCATAGGGACCCATGGGGGGGCTCGAGACCCTTAAGGGCAGCATTTTTTAAGGGGTCCTTTGAAGGGGTCTAGAGGTGATTTTATAAATAGTAGGGTACCGCCCTAAGGTCAGTGTTCCCTGAAAAGTTACAGCACTATTTGTGATGATCCTGTGCCCCAAAGACCTATGCGGCTTCCGTGTTTTGATGTGAGGTTTTCGGAGTTCCCGCTTCAGGCATTGACGGGCTGAGTGCATTTACTTTTGTCGATAGAAGCCTGAATGCCTGGTAGCATGCACAATGTTTAATGCAGGTGCCTTATAATGAGCTGTACTATTTTTTTGGAGGGGGGTTCTTACAACTATAGTACAACATGCCCCGAAACCCTATTCTAATCATTAAGGCCCCTCTGTTGGGGTGTTATGCTCTACCTCGACACCAAGCTCTACTGAATCTGGAGTTTCATCCTGGAAGGGGGGTAGGGGACTATGCTTCCCTAAATAGGCCGTAGTATCTTATAGGTATTAAATAAGGCCCTCTACCCCCCTCCCCCTTAAAAGGATCCCTCTGATTTAGGGTTGAGGGCTTGGGCCTTCAGAATTCAACCCCTACCCCCCTAAGGGTTCCCTGTGATTTAGAATTTAGGGCCTATGCAGGGCTTCAGTTGTCAACTCCTGAAGCCAAGGGGGAGGTCAAGATTCCGATTCCCAGAGACTCCAATATCCCTTAATTAAAGAATATACCCTGAGGTTATAGCAGGATCCCCAATATGGTTTACGGTATATCCCTTAATTAAGGAATATACCTTCCATTATAGTGGGATCCCCAATATGATGTGTGGTATATTCCTTAATTCGTGGATATTGGGGTGTCTGGGTTCAAGGTTGCAGCAGGATTTCGTGCTTTTCAGCTGTGCGCATGTAGTCTAGTTATTCTTTATGGATTGAGGGCTGCAGACTTTAGGCTGTTTCGTGTGGAGATTTTCTACGATGCGCAGACGGTCCATGTTCTTTCGACGAGGAACAAGGTTCCCAGTGTCAGTAATTATCATGCATGCTACGTACTGATGCCATCAGCCCATTCTGGTAGACCCCCCTTCTCGTAACCCTTATAATCGCCCTTTATGGTAGCCTTGTGACCTTGTGGATAGTTCCGAACCCCTTGAATCTACCCCTAGACCGTAAACCCGAAAACCCTGAACCCTACACCCGCAATGGGTAATCGAGGATTGGACTTGCCCTCAGTGCGGGTTTTACAACTTCGCCAGCCGCGAGGACGATACGCTGTAAACCCCCAACTTGAGGCTTGAGGCTTCAGGCAATCAGAGTCCAACAAAGAGGTTGACACATTTAGTACCAGTATCCCCTGATAGGCGCTATAAAATTAAAGCTACAGAAAATAAGACATTACGGGCCCCATATTTACAGCATTACGGTTTTTCATGTTTTTGTTTTGTTTCAGATTTGAAGCAACATCACTCGTGCACACGATATCGTTATCCTCATATGCATATTCTTAAATAGGATACTTGTACGTATACCCATACATGTGCTTGTTTCAACTGTCGACGTGACTATAGGTGGACAACCAGTTGAAGGGTCTGTCGTAGTCGAGCGATAACAACAATGCTTGATGTCGCATATGATGTGGTAGCATATGCGAGGACATACGGTCGGTATATATGCTGGATGTCAGATACATGTATGACCAGTCTCCTCGGTAACATATACAACAAACACTGTCTTTGCCTTTCATTGACAGGTTGCGATGCAAGGAATCCGAATCCGACTATCTTATAGGTGCATGAAAACGGGAGTTTGAATATTCCACTTGTGCGATGTTCGAGCAACATGGTGGGCTCTGTCGGGGAGTTTACAACTGGAAATCATTATTGGTTTATGTTCCTGTGATCAGGATCGGCTACTCGCAGTAATCTGAATATCACTATACCAAAACTGGCTAGATATGGAAACAATATATCTCATGAGCACGTCATGGTGAAGTATCAATCTTCACGTGAACCATGCGCATCATAGTATGATATGGCGTAACACACTCGTGCGCATGTAGCATGAAGTGCTAGGGAGATGCCATACGAGCTTGGCAAGCTCACGGGATGCACGAGGACATCTAAGTCAAATCTCATAGTGAAGATATGTGTCATGAGATGCTGCCCGCATCTTGCGACCTATTCATACTTAGCTGTGACTGTTGTAACTTCATGCGAGATTGGGTTTATGTGTGAGAATAAGTCTCCGGGCTTTTATTAGAAAGGTTTACCGAGGGGTTTAACCAATATGTGGTGCAATCCCGCTTGCCCGCGCGGCCGGAAGGCGTAAAGGAGGAAGCCCGAACGATGCGGGTATCTTATAAGGACACATACTGAGATGATCTATACGGATGGCTCAATATCATAATGATATGTTGAAGAAATTTCCTGGTGCTCTATGTTGATATGGCCATATTCAACACATAACATGCCTTTTACATCGAAGGAATGTGGCGAATATCCTGTTCAACTGCCGGTTGGGTGCCTCATTATGACGGCTCCATTACTCTTGCCAAAACTGGCATGCAGTTGCCAATGCAATCTGCCATGTTTACTTCCACCACAAGAGATACTTGACTTCTTGATGATGTCACATATTAAAAAGTTGGTTTTAGGCATAGTATAGTTCTTATACGTTTTCTTGGGTAACAGGATTTAGTTTACGGAGATATCCACAAGACACACGATGAAGCGCGTCATGGGCTTTAACAAGACCATATTAGAATGGTTGCGGCATACAGGTGCATTGCCTGCAGCATAGATATAACAAGCGGTATCGTTTACAGCTGATGACAATCGTATGTGCGTGTCGGTGTATGTTTGTGTGTGCATGTGCAAATAATGTGTTTTCACGGCAGCCAACTTATGACTAGATGGTATGAGCAACAAGACAGCGAAAATGATTAATATTGCAGGTGGATCTCCATATGTTTGCATATACAATAATGATAGCAAAGCACCATCTCCTTGAAAAGTATATTAACTCAATTATATCCTTATCCTTTGGGGGCTTGTGGGCTTCAGCCGCAATGATCACTAATCTGAATATGCCAGCATTGTAGCTGTCAGGATGTATACAGCAACATCCATGCGATGATTGTCTTCGAAGGTCGTAGGTTTTCAGTTTTCTGGGTTGGCTTCTGTGAGAAGCTATTGCAATTGAAATACACAATTCCGCACACACAGCTCCAAATACTGGACAAATTATTGGACTGGGAGCTCCGAAACAAGGACAACCAATGCAATAATAATCGCAAACAATATATACGCTTTTGAAGGAGGTTGCACTAAACAAGCTAGCATTCATACGAAAAAACGGTATCGAAACTGAATGTAGCAAAGACATCTATGCACATATATGTATATATGTACATATGCAAATGGATCCGGTAACACGATCCAGTTGATCGCCTGCATGTATACAGCTTGAGACGGTGGGAACTGTTTGAGCAACCTGCCTGTATGATGCCAAACTCAACTTGTCATGCTACAGTATATGCTGGACGTCTATATCCAAAATCATATGTTACCATGCACATGATGGGGCCTGCAAAAACCGATAGGATATGTAAGTGATTCTTTACGTTGATATACAAGAGTTATATAGATTGACCGGTCTTGTACATCATTCAAGGGTGGAGAAATGCACGGTTTCGCAGACGCATTGTATCTCATTTATCTGCAAGATTATACTATGAGACACAAAGAACAACCACAAGATTGAAGTGGCATTGATTTATCGGATAGTCTTCATGAGACTCCACAATGAAAGGTAGTCACACGTGCATCCCATGTTGATTGGAAAAGTATTTCCCATATCAGGCATCAAGAGCAACAGGGTTAAGTAAGCTTGAAAACCACTAGTATGCAAATTATGACGATTGTAAGTTTTTTGTAATGAAAACTCTTAGAAAACAGCATTTTGACTGGAAAATATGGGGCCCGTAATGTCTTACACTCTCTAAAGCTATGATGTGAGCCCAAAACCATAGCCTCAGTCGGTACATGTCGATGCAGAGCCGAAAAAAGGACTTCATAAATCCTGTTGGAGCTGGAAAACCCTAAACCCTAAACCCCACAAGGAGCCCTCAAAAAAAAAAAAACCTTGTGGGCTGTTTCTTTTGTTTCCCATTTTCGGACGGGACCCTTAGTGTATGCTCGGTGCGAGCGGTGCCAGACGCTCTGCGGATGGAGTCAAAGGTGCATTGCACTTTAAAAGAAAACCTAAAACCCTAAACCCCTAAACCCCTAAACCCTAAAACCCTAAACCCTAAACCCCTAAACCCCTAAACCCTAAACCCCTAAACCCCTAAACCCCTAAACCCCTAAACCCTAAACCCCTAAACCCCTAAACCCTAAACCCCTAAACCCTAAACCCCTAAACCCTTAAACCCCTAAACCCCTAAACCCTAAACCCATCTAAACCCTAAGCCCATCTAAACCCTAAACCCTAAACCCCTAAACCCCTAAACCCTAAATTGAACCCGAGGATCCTTCAGTCTTAACTTGTTAACCGTAATCTTTGAACTTTTTAGGGGTTTAGGGTTTAGGGTTTAGGGTTTTGGGGTTTAGGGTTTAGGGTTTAGGGTTTAGGGGTTTAGGGTTTAGGGTTTAGGGTTGTTAACCGTGATCTTTAAACTTTAAACCCTGAGCCTAAGCTGAACGTTAAGGTTGCTACGATCTCTTAAGCTCCCGAAGCCTGAACCGAAACTGAAATTTCAGTGGTGCGCTCCCTAAACCCTAAACCCACTCCCCTACTCTTACTGTATTGGGGGCAGTACCCAACCCAGAGCCTCCAAAACCCCTTAATTAAGGAATATACCTTAAATCATATAAGGGATCCTAATATAATTTAAGGTATATTCCTTAATTAAGGGGTTTTGGAGGCTCTGCGAAACCATGGGAGTTTCGCTGCTGGAACTCCAGGGTCCCAGCTGTTAGGGCTTACCTGCGACCCAGAAGACCTACCGTTTTAGCTTTAAAGGGGTCTATAGGGGTACTATAGTATAGGGGCCTTCAGAATTAGAAGAGGGTGTGGGGGATGTGTATATAGAAACCATAGTAATTGAGGGGCCGTTTTGAAACCAGAATAAGGAACCCTAAGAGGGTAGGGTTTTTTCGCCGTAAACCCTAAACCCTAAACCCTAAACCCTAAATCCTAAACCCTAAACCCTAAACCCCTAAGGGTTTAGGGCTTCTGGGCAAGGCAAAGTCTCAGACCCAGCACTCTGGTGTTCAACGAGCCTCACCTCGAAGGCAGTGCCCCCCAAAAACGGTCTAGCTTTGCATCTACGAAGCCGGACGATCCAGGGATTTAGGGTTTAGTGTCTTTCAGTTGGGCTGCCATAGGAAGGTGTGAGGTTCTAAGTATGTGCATATGGCTTTCCTGGCATGGAAACAGGAGTGCAAAAGTTGCTGGGCCCCACGCCCCTCATCGCCGCCCCGACGAAGGGTGACGCTGGCCTGTTTCTGGCTTTTTTTTGGGGAGTTTCATCTCTCAAGCAAGGAACCTCGAACCCTAAACCCATCTAAACCCTAAACCCTAAACCCATCTTAACCTTAAAAGGGATATGAATGAAGAAATGGATATCGGGGGTCGGGGGGTTTTCAGATGTTTCAGTCAGTAGGGCTTTGTAGCTGAGATGCCGATGCGAAGACCTCCACTCAAGCACAAAATCCCCGAATATAGGGGCCTGGATAAGTAGACTAGGGCTTCCGCTGTTGCAGTGTTGAAGTTGAAATATGCTTGTACTATATGCAGATATATGAATTATAAGGGAAAAGTATTACTAAGCACTCCCTTAGCCTTAAGCCCCAAAGCCGTCTATCAAGCCCTGGCCCATCCCAACCCTAAATTACGTGCAACCCCAACCCGACAAACCCTCCCGTAGTGATGAAAAAAGACTACCTTAACTTACACCCCAATTTAGAGAACTAGGGTTTAGGGTTTAGGATTTAGAGAACTGCCCATATCAAGCCCCAAACAACCCTGAACCCTCAAATGCTGGATTCCTCGAAGCCCAAGCGTCTCTTACTGTTCCAGCGTCTCTATGCTCTCTATAGACAGCCTCTAAACCTGCAGGTTCAGGGTTTACGGGTCAAGTGTTGAAGTGGCTTAAACGTCTGCAAGTCCGTGAGGTGAGACCTCTTCGGCATCGCGCCTTCATGCCACCTGGCAGAGATCGGGCCAGAACCCCGTTCTAAAAAAAGCTAGAGCGGACAAGGGATAGCGTTTAGGGCTTTAGTGGGGTTTAGGACTTGCGGGTTTGGCCTTCAAGGTTGTAGTTCTAAGGTGTGTCTCGCTTTAGCGGTTTGGATTCTGGTGAAATTTCTTACAAGCTGCTGGCTTTCGGCCGCTGGTAGTATTTAGCGATAATGAAAATAAGAACAAGAATACTGACACTAGTAAGTAACAACAGTTACAGTTGCAGTAGTAGATAGTTGTCATGGCTTTTCATTAGCATAGCTACCTATCTATAGGGCTTAGGGTAAGGTTCTGGAACGCTGGCCCCAGATCTCGACGTGCTCCTCACTGGGGTTGCCCTTACGAGCCACAATCTTAAATACAGCGCCTGGCTTCGGACTTGGGGTACTTTCAGGATCGTACTGTTTAGGGCCTTTCTGTTGAGTTTGGGCTCGTGTTTTTCGTGGCTGATGGGGCCTGCAATTGACGGTTTAGGGGGTTTAGGGTGGCGAATACACCCAATGTCTGTTTATCTCGTTCTTGATGGTTTAGGGTTTCAGGGTTCAAGGTTTAAGTTAAGCTTTATACACCTATGTTCAGAGGAGAAAACCCCGTAATGCAGAAGCGACAGGTCAAAGGCCATGTCTCGGCAGCTTCAGACAATCCTCAACCCTAAACCCTGAACCCTAAACCCTAAACCCTTAAACCCCTAAACCCTAAACCTTAAACCCTAAGCCCTAAACCCTAAACCAGAGTGCCGACCCTGCACACTTCGAGCCCCATCGCATGGACCTCCGTGTAGACCAAAGCCCATCACCCATATAGCACCCTTATACGGTTGATGATATAAATCCTGCATTACCTTAAGGACCCTAAACTATGGGAATGATGGTATATTCCTTATAATGGGTCATGCAGGATTTATATCATCAACCATAGTACCCTTATAGAGGGCCTTATGGATCCCTTTATGAACTCTACAAGGGACTACCCTTATAGTACCCTTATCGAATCCCTTCCTAATTTTCAGAACCCTCATCTGGGTGCCGCCCGTCTGGTCCCAGCAAGCAGACAGGTTCGGTGAGAAGGTTCGGTCTTTGGCCACCGGTTCCTGGGCTGCGATGGGTTCAGCGGTTAGGGTTTGGAGTAGTAGGCGGGGCTGGCTCCCGAGCTCGTATCACATATTACAGATGGCTCCAAGGATCATGCTTTGGTCGGTTTTCAGGTCCAGTGTGAAGGGGTTCATGGTTATATACGGTTTAACCGGGGTGAGTTGTCCATGTTTTCAGGTTGTCGGGAGTGTGTTGAGTGGATCTTGCGAGTTCATGTTGAGATCCATTTCCATCTCCTAACAACGATGAAGAGATGGGACCCTGCCATCAAGACCACTGAGGCCGGGTTCACGGTTTCTGGTTTTTCTCATGCTGGCATAAACGCTTGGATCTCCCTTAATCCCTGCTCGACCAGCAAAACACGAGGTGAGGAAGAGATCTGTGAATTTATAGTTCGTAACCTAGTCCCACCTACTTGGAGGATCATGGGACTTAGTAAGTAAGATGATAAGTACCCTAATTGGGGTTATAAGTAATTATAAGTGTAGATACCCGAATAATAACCCTAGTTACTAAGTCCCATGATCCTTTAAGTACTCGGTTACAAGACCGAAGAGCAGCGATTTCCTCGCAAACTTAAGGTTGCTGCTGCACTTAAAGGATGGTGGTGGGACCTAGTAATTAGGGCTATTATTAAGGTAATTGTACCTTATCTCTACTTAGAACCCCAAGTCGGGTACTTATAACCTTCCTTCCTAAGTCTTATGATCCTCCAAGCACCCGGTGTTCGAAAGACCATTCCCAAGTGCGGGGTTTGGTGCATTGCCCACGTACACAACCACAAACTCTCTAAGCGGCTACAGCTTACACGATCAAGAACACGGGACCTACAACCTTTGCTTCCCCTCCAAAACCTAGAGCCAAAATGAGGTACCCCCTAATTTTGGGAAGCCCGAAACCCTTATAGAGCCCTCTAAGGGAACCCTTACAGTACCCTTATAGTAACCCTTTCGTGCCCTCATTTAGGGACTCGAAACACCCGATGGACGTTCCTAAACCCGGAACCCCACGCACGTGAGACCTGTGCCCTTCGTCATGTAGAAACATCAGAGTCGAATGCGGCTTCTAGCAACGCCTGTACCCATAGGCTCCTTACTGTTGATGGACAAAATCCTGCATGACCCTAAGGACTCTAAACTATGGGAACTATGGTAATTTCCTTATAATGGGTAGTGCAGGATTTTGTCCATCAACAGTAGTGGTTCCTTTTTGTGGTTCATGACCAGGATCCTCTAAGGTATTCCCAAAAAGGAGCTATTAGGGAGCCTATTTGTATACACTCCACAAAAGAAGTCTTTGCAACCTCCCCAACCTGTGGGGACAAGCCTGAAGCTTCAACATCGCTGCACTTACCTTGGGTTAGTAGGGAATGGAGGAATGGGGTACAATTATAATATAGCTACCATTACTACCATTCTTCCATTCCCTACTAACCAAAGGTAAGATTATAGGATTATTAAGGCCCTTAAAATTATAGTACCCTTATAGATCCCTTATAGTAACCCTTATAGGCCCCATTCTTCCATTCCCTACTAACCAAAGGTAAGAGTCGCCCAGGCCAGGGTCAGAAGTCGCAGACCCTGTGCCGCGATTGCTGCGGAGTGTCGCTGAAATCTTTGTTCCTGCGCCCCGTCAGAGTACATTTGAGAGAGAGAGAGAGAGAGAGAGAGAGAGAGAGAGAGAGAGACAGAGAGAGAGAGAGAGAGAGAAAAAAAGAGAGAGAGAGAGAGAGCGAGACCACGAGAGCGCGAGAGACAGAGGGAGGGGGAGAGAGAGCGAGTGTTAAGGAGGTCAGGGAGTGCTCACGGCAGATTCACAGCGAGAGTTTGTCCTTGTTTGTAAAGCCCCGAACCGGCTAGGGGTAAGGTCTGCGACGGGACCCTTATGCCGCATATGCCCAGTACAGAAAGAAAGAGAGATAGAATATAGAACGAGAGAGAGCGGGAGATCGACGTGTCAGGGAGAGAGGGAGAGATTTTTTATATGTAGCCATGCAAAATGAATGAACAAATAACTGAATGAATGGAAAAGTATGTACAAATATAGACAGAGCACATGTATATATATATATATATACACACACACACACACTCCAATACATGGACACATACGTGGGTACATACTACATACCTGGACCCCCAAAGTATGTAGAAGAATAGCCTTTTATAGGTTATGGGCCATTATTTTACCTACTTTTGAGGGTCTAGGTAATTGTCCACATACCCAGGCTCGGCCATCGCATCCAAGTGGACTTCATGAAAGGACCCGGGCCCGAGGGCTCTTCGGGGGTTGAGGCTTGTAGGGTTTAGGCTTTCAGGGTTTAAGGTTTAGGCTTTCAGGGTTTAAGCCTTCAGGGTTTTAGGGTTTAGAGTTCAGGGTTTAGGGGCTCAGGGTTTTAGGGTTTAGGCTTTCAGGGTTGTAGGGTTTAGGTTTTCAGGGTTTAGAAGTTTAGGGTTTTAGGGTTTAGGGTTTAGGCTGTCAGGGTTTAGGGTTTAGGGTTTCAGGGTTTAGGGTTTAGGCTTTCAGGGTTTAGGGTTTGGGGTTCAGGGTTTTAGGGTTTAGGCTTTCAGGGTTTAGGGTTCAGGGTTTTAGGGTTTAGGGTTTTAGGGTTTAGGCTTTCAGGGTCTAGGGTTGTAGGGTTTAGGCTTTCAGGGTTGTAGGGTTTTAGGGTTGCAGGGTTTAGGTTTGTAGGGTTTAGGGTTCAGGGTTTAGGGTTTAGGCTTTCAGGGTTTGGGGTTCAGGGTTTTAGGGTGTAGGGTTGTAGGGTTTAGGGTTCAGGGTTTTAGGGTTTGGGCTTTCAGGGTTCAGGGTTCAGGGTTTTAGGGTGTAGGGTTGTAAGGTTTCGGGTTCAGGGTTTTAGGGTTTAGGCTTTCAGGGTTGGGCTTTAGGGGTTCAGGGTTTGGGGTTCAGGGTTTTAGGGTTTAGGCTTTCAGGTTTTAGGGTTCAGGGCTCAGGGTTTTAGGGTTTGGGCTTTCAGGGTTTGGGGTATAGGGCTCGAGGCATAGAGTTCAGGGTTTCGGTGGGTTTTCAGCTATATTCCGCCCTAGTGCACGCCACTGGAACAAAACTGCCCACCTGAGCTTGACGGCCCTACCCATAGGCCCCATAGTAGTTCCGTTCTGGTGTTGGTATGTAGACTTCCATAAGGTAAGCCCAAAAAGGAGCTACTATGGGGCCTATGGGTAAACCTTATAAACCCTAACCCCTAAACCCTAAACCCTAAACCCTAAGCCTTAAACCAAACCCTAAACCCTAACCCCTAAACCGCCAGGACAAGCCAGCGTGGATGGTTGGATACATTGCCAGGCCAAGAGTCGAGAATTGCTGTTGTTTTGGAGGGGGTTTTTAGGGTGAAAGACTCGGGGTCTTATCTATGTAAGGACCCTCTTATCCTGTTTTCGGGTGCTTCGTTGTTCGTCCCTGTGGGATGCAACTGGATGCCTCAGTTGCCACGTTTGACCCCTGCATGACCTCGCCGCATACTTCACACAGAATGTGGGACGTGACTACCATCCAGGACAAGATTGTGGCCTGTCTAGTTCCCGTTCTCGTGCTGCCTTGCTGAAGAAGAAAACCACGCAACAAAGAAGAACTATATCCTAGACCTTAAACCCTAAACTCAACCTGATCTTAAGCGACTCACAGGGATAATTTCCCGCAGCTGACGTACTTTGTCAGTCACTCCTACCCATAATATAGGGGCCTCAATCATAAGAAAAGGGTTGTGGGGTATATTTATACTATAGCCATAACAAGGAACCCCTACAGTGCTATTGAAAATTATTCAGGCCCCGATAGAAGGCTCCATTGTAGTTCCCGTTTTGTAGGTCATATTTAGGATCCCAAAAGGTATATAATCTAAAAAAGGAACTACACTGGAGCCTATGGGTAAGAACTCTAACCTGAAGCGCACCCGAGGCCCGAATACCTCCCTGGCTTTAAAGAAACCTCGAGTGGCCTCTAGAGGATGTATTCAACCTGACCTAGAAGCCGGAAAAGCCCCAAGCCCGGACGCACAGACAGACAGACAATTGGATCGAGAGACGGAAAGAGATGGACAGACGGACGGAAACAGAAAGAGAATCGGTTGAATCCTAAAACTGGTCAATCTGTTGGGCCCAGAACTTACTACTCCTTTCCGCTTTCGGCTTTGTGGTATGCGTTTCGGACTTAGGAATGAGCTGGGTTGGGCGGTACTTCTGGGTAGTTATCAAAATTATGGTCCCTACTTGGGTACCCTAAATATTAGGTGCCGTATAATATATATATATATATATATATATATACATATATATATATATAAGGACCCAAAACGGGACCATAATTTTGACAACCACCCTTATAGGATCCTTTAGGAAGCATCACCTGGGATCAGAGGCCGCTGCCCAGGATGCCTCGATGTTGCTGGGAATGCGCCGGCGATTGCAGGACAGCCTTCTTGGGGTTTCAGCTTTATAATAGCGCTTTAGGGGTTTTCGGCTTAGGGGTTATGGGGTTAAAGTACAAAGTAATTTCTTGGGGTATCAGGTTTAGGGCTTTAGAGGTTCACGGTTTAGGGGCTTAGGGGCTTAAAGTGTCAAAGTAATTGCCAACCTTCTTCTTTCGTGCTCCTTGCAGAAATCGCACCATAATACTCCGCAGTAGCCTATTCTAAACTATGGCGTTGTAAGGTTCTGTTGGTGGGTGATGGGTTGTTATAGGGTTGGGTAAGGGGGTCTCTTGGGGATTTCCTCGGGTTGTGTTTTTCAGATCTTTTGGGATCCTGTGCGGCTTTATCAGCTCATTATAATAATAAGGTGTTGCGCACACTTCATATGTGTTTTGTAGACCATCTAGCCCTAAACCCTAAACCCTTAAACCCTAGGGTTTAGGGCGGTTTAAGGGATCGGTTGTTTTAAGGATTCGGGTTTCGGGATCAGGTAATCAAGTTTAATGCGCCAGAACCTTCTTTTGTTGTGTAGGGCGCCCAGCACTTCTTTGTGAGGGTGCATATCTCTACGCGTGTTCTGGCTTTAAAGCCCTCAACCCTGACCCTCAACAAGCTACCTTCGTGGGGCTTCTTATTCTGATCTCCTTTTATTAGTCCTGAATTTTGGGGTCTCTGAAACTCCTTTGACCCCCAAATCCCCTGGCACCCCGAATCGCTAATCACTTCATCTCTAATCCCTAAAGCCCGAAACTCAAGAAGCCCTAGACCTGTGCTAACCCTGGCTCTGTAGGACGTCCTGTCTCGGCAGCTGGCGCGGAAATCCGCAGAGGCTTTGACCTCCGACGACGCAGAGGCGTGCCTTGAGGGGTTTGGGTTTACAGTAGAAGCCAGAAAGTTGGAACATGGCCTTAACGAAGCCATCGGAAGGAACCTTCAAAGTCAGGTTTCCGATGCCACAGCCAAGACCCCCCCAACTACCCTCTAATACCCCAAATACCCACTATTAAGGGCCATAAGGGCTCCATTAAAGGGCCCTTGGGGGTCCTGGAGATAAGCCCTATTATAAAGCTTTCGGTTTCCGTTCCCTCGTACGTGCTGGCTGCGCAGGTCGTGAACGTCATCTCCCAGATGCTGGTCATGGATGTCGAGTGCTGGGCTCAGTGTCAAAGGCTTACGGAGTTTGCGCGGCTTAGTCCGTAGCATAGGCCCGTGAAGGTAGCCTGAAAGGTGCAACCCTAAACCCTAAACCCTAAGCCCTAAACCCGACAAGAGCAGCTAGCCAGCAACACGACCACCTGCACCTGCAGCAACGGTGCAACAACGGCGACGATACCGACACAATTGCTTTTTGGGGTTTAGGGGTTTAGGGGCTAGGATGGATTTAGGGTTTAGGTTACAAGAACAGTAACAGAGGCACCACCTGCGGCACCAGCATTGTGAGCAGCAGCAACAGCAACAGATGCAGCACAGCTCAATTGCCGCTGTAAATCATGAACATCTGTAACTTCCAGCCCAACTTCCTCAATCTCGCGATCCTGAACCATAAACGTCTCAAGGATTGCAGGACCCAAAAGCTGTGCCCCTCGCAACTCCTCTGAACCCTTGCTGGAAAGGAAACATCGCATCGCTCTACATAGGTCATAGGTAGGGTAAGAAGTATTCCAAGGTCGCTGCAGTCGAATTGTATAGAGCATTCCTCAAGGTCTTAAACCCCAAACCCAAATTTAGGGTTTACACCTTAGCCCTAAACTCTAAACCGTACGGTTTAGGGTTTCAGGGACCATAAGACCTGATCGCCCTCAGGCCTTCCCGGCTGGTTTTGAGTTCGGTCGGTCAATTGGGTGTTTATAGACATTGTTAAGAGGTTGGGTGCCAATGAGGTCTGACCGAAGTTTTGACCGTGTTGATGGGCGAGGGGCTGGGCTCTGGCCGCGGAAGGGCCTGAGCTGGGGCTGGGGGCTGGGCTTCGGGGTTGCTCAGCTGGCCGGGCTGCTGAGCTGGGCTGGGCTGGGTTGGGTTGGGGGTGGGCGTGGGCAGGGCTGGTGGGCTGGGCTGCGCTGGGCTGGGCTTGACTGGGGCTGGGTTGGTCGAGGGCTTTTTGTTTTTGGCTTATCGAAACTTCTTGTTCTGTTGATTAACCTGGAGCGTAAGGTTGGCCGACATCAGAAGAAACCGCTCGGGAACCTAAACCCTAAACCCTAAACCTTTCTGTTTGGGGTGCTGGGCCGGGCTGGGGCCAGGGGCTGTGGTTACAAAGACAAGCAACTTCTATGTTTCTTCTATTGAGGGTGTAGGGTTTAAGGTATTATTGCAGACTCCCCCGTTGCACTTGGGCCACCAAACTGCCCAATGGCGAATATTGTCATATTCGATTCCATCCCATATCTGGGGAGGTCGAGACAGCTCGTGGGAAGAAAAGCTTGGCTTTACGGTTTCAGAGCTGCCGGTTTCGGACCCTACAGTTCAGGTTTAAGGGTGTGAGGGTTTTCAGAACATACCCCATTCCCTCAATACTTCTGACAGCAATGATTGAGGGTTGCGGCCCAGGTAAGAGCTCCTTCCACCAGGGTGCTTGTCTCCGTGCAGTGCCAGCCCGCGCCCTTGTCGGAGCCGCCGACCTCGCCTAAGGTGCAACCATGTGTGACCAGCTGGGACAATTGCAGCACAGGACTCGTCCTTGGCAGACTGGCCTGAAAGCCAGCACCGGTACAAAGCTTCAATCGCGTGAACAAACATCAGGAACTGAACGTGTTCGCGCGATCCTCACTTTTTTAGCACGAAGCAGTAGCGCTTCTGGCCATCGACTTGTAGAGGACCACCCGGAAAAATCACAATTTCTTTATGCACGAAATGTCCATAGCTATTAACTCTCCATCGAGAATCATCATATAGAATTCAAGTATATGTTTACCACCAACTGAATTAATTACTAATGAGGCACGCCAGAATAGTCTAACGCATATTTTGTCGATATATTTCGGAAGTTGATTATGATATCGATATTTCTAGGTTCATATGTTGGATCCAGGTACATTCTACTAAGTTTAATGGTTATGATTATTGAAAACATAATTTCTAGAAACATTTCAAGATTAAGGAATGATGATTTCTGTATATAGAAGATTGATATTTTGAATAGTTTTATGATTTACCACTTTCTACTCGGAAATAGGTTAAGTCTTATGTATCTTTAAGGGAGAAGTCGTATCAACTACGGCATGTACGAGTTGTTGAGTTTATCTTGATAGTATCGGAGAATCGTTTAGTTCATGAGGTAATATTCTTGAATGGTCATATAGTTTTTGTGCGACGATTAATTTTAATACTACGCCGCTCGCTTCGGTTTTTTTAAGCGGTAGGGCGTAGCGGG